CTATATTATATGTGATGAACTCTTCCATATGTTAATCTGCAGCCTGGATTTAAAGCTCCAAAAATTGAAGCCTAGCCGTGGCTGAAGAGAAAAAAGCGGCTTTTGCGCCATGGTCGTTGCACAGCTTTTGCGATGGAAGTCACCGGCAGTCTTGATTTTAGTCATGGTCATGCTGGGACAGAGCCCAACAGTTGTTCGAACACCTGATATTCCGAATGACTTTGTGGAAGTCTTTGCTGGTGACGCTGCAGTGACACTGGCATGTTGGAACAGAGGACTGGTTGGAAGCTGTCATGATGTCCGTTATACCAGCCTGATGGACCTGACTTCCACCCATGGCTTCCTGTTTCTTGGTTTGCATATGTTTGCATTTAATATTGTTGTGAAGTTTGTGAATCATTTGAGCATTGTTTCTTTGAACTGGGAACCGTATCTGTCTTTGCAATATTCCTTTTTGAGGCTAGTCTGCCGTGAGATTTGGAACATCAATCCCGGTGGCCTATGCATTTTTGGGATTTGTTGCAACAGCTTCACGAAGATGTGCCTTGGTTGCATTTTGTGGCTGATGTTTTCTGACTCCAAACATTGCATCATTATTTTGGCAGTGCTGGCAGCTTGCTAGGTCATGCCACACTTCTGGGCGCGATGTGTTCAACCAGTACCTTGGGAATACGGGGTACAAGTTCGTGTCTCTTGGGAACTTGTTTTGTGCCCGGCTAGCTCTAGCCATTTTTCTATGCTTTGCAAAAGGCATAAGATTTGTGGTGGAGCAGCCGGAAGGCAGCACGTTAGCTATGCACCCACGATTTCAGCAAGTGCTGGCAACTGGACATGCGTCTTGGCTAAACATTTCTATCGTGTGATATAGGGAGGAATTTACAATGGTCATTGTATATGATGTGGAATTCAATTTCTTGTGAATTGCTGTTCCATGCAAGGTGTTCACTGGCTCATTTTGGATGGGTGCATTCAATGGCAACACTGCCAAAAGACATCGACTTTGGTCGAATTGCCGAGACTTGTTGCAAGAGGTTGTGAAGCAAGGCCTTGTTGGGCATCATATATACTGTATACAGTGAGTTGGAATGTGATTTAATCTCAATTGTGCAGAATCAAACATACTTGATCCTGGCAGGTGGGCATATGAGCCGTGAAGCCTTGCGGATGCTGCCTGGCTCTTCCAATGGGCTGGTGAGGAAGTACATTGATAAAGCTGGCAAGCGGCGTCATGTTGGAGTTCCATCCAGGTTGAAGGGTAGCCAGCGCCTTGTAGAAATTATTGCATGTCAATTAATCACGCTTGAATCTGCATTGTGTGTCAGTCGATGTTCCAGCTGCTGATTTGAGGGCCTACACTGCTCAGTTTGGTGAATGCATTGCTTCGATGGCCTCGCGTCCCCAGGTGGGCTGATACTAAATTGATTCGACAAAGGTGGAGTTTGTGATTGATCTTTTGGGGAATCCAATCGAATTTTGTATATAATATATGCATATTGTGGGGCTTTTGCTTTTGGCAGGTACCTGCAGCTGGGCCTAGGGTCGATGTCAACGTTGACAACAATTGTGGCGATGCAGAACTTTTTACAAGAGTATTTTCTCCCACAGGGCAACTTTCTTTGGAGTGCCTCGGTGATTTGTGGCATGATGCAGCTTGGCTGCATTCACATCGGGCAGGTTGCATGCAATAGTGTGATTGCACGTGTTTCCCCTCTCCAATATATATATATATATATATTATTTTCGGATATTAGTCCAATATATTATATTTGCCAAGATCAGACTTCCAACAGAGATTCCATTCATCTTTGACAAAGCTCTTACAACTCTGTGCAATATAAGAATGATTACATATATATATATAATTATATATATATACACACATATAACCTATGTATATTATATATGATCTATCTACCTATCTATCTCCCCTCCTTGTGGATCTGCCCTGTCCTTGTTGCCAAGGCTGACATGCCAGCAGTGATGCGCTACCTGGCGGGATGCCGCCACTTTGACCCAAAGGGAAGATGGGTCTTGGCCCCAGGGGTCGGGTGTATTTCTGTTGTTGAATTTGTTGTGAAATGCTTACTCTATATATGGACATATATGATGATGTAATCAACATTGATCAACATGGTACTCGAGGCTGATATCTTTGACCAGCTCAACCTCAAGCGCGGCCTGAAGCGCTTTGCAAAATAATCAATTGATTTTAGATTGTTCTCTTCACACTTAAAACCAGTGTGCCCAAATTCGCATGGAAACCATGTCGGAGTCTGTCGGAGAACCTGGGTTGAACTTCTCAGAAAATTTGCTACCGTGAAGAAACGTGAATTGAACGTGAAAAAGTAGGTGATGACCGTGAAAACTCCGTGAAAAACGTGAAAAAAAAATCAATATATTCAATGAAATTCTAAATGCATCTCTCGATCCTGCACGGGAATTATCAGCCATGATGCCATCTGTGGATCTCACAGTATTTATTTGTGCAGGCATTTGTGGCACACAGCTGCACATTTGGGTAGATTGGTGTGGCCATGGCGGCTTCCCTGAAAAGCCTTCCTTTCCCGATTGACGAGCTGACCTGGGAGAAGTTGCCGGTGGTTGCCAAGCACCTGAAGGTGAGCAAAGCAGAGGCGTTCACCATCATGCATCATGTCTTGGGGCCACCTCCGACTCCTTTGCCGGCTGCTTGTCTATGCAGTGTATGAGTTAAGTGGAGAATTCAGCTGGGTTTTACTCTATATATATTAAAGATTATCTTCACCCGTATGCTTATCTATGCTTAATGTATCATTTCAGCATTTAAACCTGATGCCCGACATACGTTACCCCATCACCATCTGTTGCATTCTGTTGTCAATCTTAATTATAGATGATTTTGTGAATACTATCCAGAGTCATTTTAACATTCCCTCTATATATAATTATATGTTACACCCATGCTCCCTGTTCCAGCTTCCTCTAGTAGTCCACTGCCTATTCGTGCCTCGTATTTGAGGATATGGATGGTGACCAGAAGCCTAAGCGCAAGAAGAAAGATGTGAACTCAGCTGATGATGGCAACATGGAACAGCAGAGTGCGCCGAATCGGCCCACTGCTGCTAAGTCCAAAGCGAAAAGCAAAGCGAAAAGCAAAGCGGCAGGCAAAGCAAAGGCGAAATCGAGTGGGGCATCAGCAGCCAGCGGCAAGAAGACCATTAAGGTCCATGACAAGAAGTCTGCAAAGTCTGCAACGTCCCCCAATCGGTCAAGAAAGCCAAAGAAGTCCAAGAAGGAGAAGAAGAGCCAGCAGCTTCAAGACCCAGGAGCTGAAGCAGAACTACCTGATGAGGTTGAAACCCCGGACACCGAGATGTACCATCAGCCTGGAGAAGTTACCCGGAAGCGCAGAACACCCGTGAGCACAGTGCTGGATGCAGTTGGCCTGACTGGTTTGAGGACGCCCCGTCAGAAATGCACTGATCAGGCACCCAGCAACAATGCAGGATCCAATCCCGATGTGCTCAGCCCGACAGCGCCGTCTGGTGGTCAAGATTCTCAGGATACTGAGTGGTCATTTGGTTGCAATAAAATGAAGCCAAACTCCTTGCAATGTACATATGTGTAAACCATTAGGTTTGCTTCGATGTGACAGCATGCACACTTAAAACATCTTAAAACTAGACCCCATGGATTAAAATCATCTTGTGCATTCTGTTGAAACTTTACCCCATGCGTGATCTTATACTCAGGTCGTGTGGCACTTTGCAACGTGCAATCGATTACGTCAACTCCCAGGGCCCTGCGCACGTTGACAATAAGGCCCTGGCGAAAGACGTGGATTCCATCTCCACTGCAAGCACCATTGTGAGCCTTGGCAGCATTTTGTATAGGATTCTCTGGCATGCATTTTCATGTGCAACTTATGGGGATGGGGGGTTCGATGATGACACCAACGGCAAAAAAATATCGTATCCATATATTAACATATATATATATATACATATCAGTGTCAGGGATTCCATTAATTAACACATGATACACATATGTGATTTCTATCATTTATATATATACTCAAACCAAGTGCTTCTATCACTGTTGCAAGGCTGGGTGAAAGTCAGCCTGGAGATCTGCAAGGTCAACTGCATGCAGCGCTAGCCTACATCAAGAAGTTAGAGACCGAACATGGTGCAGCTGGTGTTCCTTCTGGTCCTGCCGAACTGAAAAGGGCCACGCCCTTGCAAGTGCCTGGGACTATAATTTTACAAAGGTTTTTCGAGTATGGAAATTTCAAGTCATATATGATATATGAATATTTACAAACAGGACTTTTATATATATATATATATACATGTGATGGCATGATATATCTCATATACATATGTATGCATGTATATATATATATAATACATATAAATATATATGTTGTCAATATTGTTGTTCACATTTTTCCTCAAACTACCATTCAGGCTGAAGAAGGTTCCAATGCAACGCTGCCAGCGACGATCCCTGGAGACATTGAACCTGCTGCCGCTCCTACCTTGGAAATACCGGCAACTCAGCCTGAGCCAGAAGAACAGTTCCAAGATGCCCAATCGGATCATGAAATGGATCTTGCTGAGACCCCCAAAAGCAATGCGTGTATGGAGCCCTCCGAAGTTCCAAAGAAAGCAGATGTCCCAGAGCCCATGGATGTGGAGAATGTGGACAAGGTGGCAATCTTGGACAGGAAGGACAGTGTGGCTTCCACTGTAAGCTTAGGTGACTGCTGGGAGAAAGAATATTACGAGTACAAGGAAGAGAATGGTCAATGGGTGAAATATGTGAAGGAGAAGTACATGCCCCTCGCAAGGGCCAGGAATTGGAAGCTTGGCCCAATTCCTGCCGGAGAGGAAGTTGCTGTGCCAGTTTGCAAGGGCTTGGGCACGGTGACTGTGCCAGTAGATCCTGCCTCTAGCCAGCCCTTGCAGCCCACAGCTCCGACGGCATCTCCTGCACAGCCCTTGGCCTCTCCAGCTCCGATGGCAACTCCTGCAGTGCCCTTGCCAGAGACCCCAGCTGCGACTGCTGCAGTGCCCTTGCCCGAGACTGTACCTGCGATGACACAGGCCTTGCCAGAGACCCCATCCTCAGCTCCAATGGCATCTCCTGCACAGCCCTCGCCAAAGACCCTGGAAGCTTCTGCGCAGCCTTCGCCCAAGGCTTCAGTTCCGGTGGCAACACCGCCGGACCGCACGCTGGAGCTGGCTGGGTTGCAAGCTTTGATGGAGGGTCAGAAGGCTCGGGAGCATGCAGCTGCTATGGAGGAGGTCAACAAGTTTGAGGCTCAGCGACTGCTTGATGCGCAGGGCCAGCAGGTGGCGTTGGCCGGGGTCGAAAGAATCGATTGGACGACTCACAAAAAAGAAGGGATGAGATTGAAAAGACTCATTGAGGAATCGGCTGACGGTGCCCAAACGTTCCCCTACATGGCCAAGATGTGGGCTGGCTCCAAGGAGGACTATATGGGGGTCTAGCTGTGATATGTACATATATTGTTCAATTAATGGCTTTTTCTGTTTGTTGCATGCCAACTTTGTTCATCCCTGAACAGGACAGAAAGCAGCTGCTCCGGGAATGGGTGCTTAAGAATGGCGATGCTGCTGCAGTTGAGGCGAGCATCGTCGTCTCCAAGTCATCCAGCTCTAAGCTGGGAACTCAGAAAGAGCTCTTAACAGTCCAGGAGATGGTCTCCAAAGGATACCCTGCTGAGAAAATATCGGCAATTGTGGCCAAAGGAGGAATTCCAGATCCAGACTGCCCTCACATTCCAAGTCTCTACAAGTACTGGTGCCAAACCAGTTGCGTCTTGAAGGATGTGGAGGAAGTGAAGCAGGAGTCCAGGGTGACTGTGCAGTGTCAGCCCACCGCTGCTGCTTTGGATGCTGTGATGAGTGGGCCTAAGGGGCCTGCAAAGCGCTGCGCTTTGCCGACGGGATGCTTGGAGCAAATGATGCAATCAACCCAGTCGCCAGGACCGGGATTCAGTATATTAGTTGAGGTACTACATGCACTTGACAAAGATCTGTCTTTATATGCCTTTATACATCTACTGTACATGACCCTTAATGGTTGATTATATTTATAATTTGATAGTTATTATTTGTTCCAATATTGGCTTTGCACACCACCATTTCCAGAACCCACCACATGGCTATACATATATATATATACATGCATTGCAGTAAATGAAACGTCCATGTATAAATATATACATAGTTAAATAAATAAATATATATATAATGCTATAATGTATACATAGTTTTAAACTGTATCATCCATTGTCTTTACACTTTTTACATTTGATATGCATTCCCTGGCCATCTTGTGCAGGAACCATTCAAGAACCTCAAGCCCCAGCTGCTCCTGAGCCCAAAGCTAAGAGCAAGGCAAAGGCAAAAGCGAAGGCGAAGTCTGGCGCTGCAGGCAAGGTGACAGAAGCTACTGCGAAGACATTTGATGAATTGAAAGCTGAAATCTGTGCTGTCCTCAGCTCTGACCAATTCCACAGTTTGATTTTCACTGCTGTGTGTTCGTTCCTTTGTGGGTTTAGAACTCCAATTAAGCCTGCTAACCCTGCCTTGTCGATCTTGAGGCAACGGTTTGAAGAAGGAGATCAATGCGGTTAGCAACTTGAGCTTGGAGCTGCCTCAGAACAACCAGTTGCGCAAGGTCTTGGGGGACTACAAGGTTCGATTTGAGGAGGCGATTGATGAGTTTCTTGGCTGAAGCTATGGCATGCTTGGTTTGAATATGATTTGATTGATTTTGTCTTTATCACAGGTGCTTTATATTCTGCCCATCCCTTTGAGGTTGAAATCAATCACGACAGAGGCCAACCTGCTGGACCTGAAAAGTGAACTGGATGAGGAGGCCGGCATACGAAAATTTTCACTGCATATGAATCTAAGTAAATGAATATATTGCCCATTTGAAAGATCAATATACGCCCTTATAAAATTCTCATGGGTGTCTTTTGCATCAATTTCTTCATCAAATTTCCAGTTCAAAACTATTGCAACCCTGCTGACCCAGGTCAAGCAAATGAGATTGGTGAAAGCTCAGGGACGAGCAGTGATTGGGGAGATCAAGAAGCAGTCTGCCTGAGAGTGCTGTGTGCGCGATCTGCCTTTGGAGTGGTGTGTCGCTCCATGAGCCCTATGTAGGGCGCTTTTTCAATGGGGTTGCGCTTAGAACCTTGCCATATGGATCTCAGTACCTATTCAACTATCTATCCAATATATCCCCCAAAACAAACCTTATTCTTGTATATTGGGACTTGGCAGGGAAGGCGCAAACGCGCACGTACAAACGTAACGTGCACAATCCATAGATGGGAAGTCTTGCCGATTGATATTTGATTCAATCCAATCTTGAAACCATGGCCGTGATGCTATTTGTCGGATGTGAAAAAAGATTATTCTCTGTGAATCTGATGTTCCAACTGATCGCATGCAATTGCCAACATCTAGCTGATTCCTGGGCCCCCTCGCAGGTGCTGAATCTGATGTCTCCTCATGGGGAGATCGAATTTCCAGGGTTGAATCCGTGTCCCTTGGCATGCACATATTTGCATTACACATGGAGTGATCGTCTTTGAATTCTATTTAATATCTCTATGTTTGTCAGTCAACGCCTTCAAATTTGAGACCTGAGAAATCTTTCTGACTTAGGCTGGCCTCCGGAATTGGCACTGGAAATGCAACAGTTCAACATGCACGCCAAATTGGTGATGCAATTGGAAGTGCTGCTTGTTTGCAAATACAGTGTAGAAATATTTCGATCTATATCTATATTTTATATTGTCTTTAATATTATATAATAACCACATGATATGTTGAATGATCTTCATGAAATGGTGCATGCATATTGGTTCCTGTTAGCATGTCGATGCATTCGTTGAATTAAGGCTGTCTTCAATCAGTTCCTTGGTTGCACTTACTAGCACATATAGCTAAGAATCCAAGCTGTACTGCGCCCGTCCTGCTCCGGCATCAGGACACGCGAAACAAACGAGAGCCGTGTCCACAACAGAGCGATGCGCCATGGGGTCGGCCTGGATTGCAAAGTGGAGTATCGGGAAATTCCAATTTGCACTGGGTACGATGATGAGGGGAGACCTATAGTGGAATTTGTGGAGTGGCCGTTTGTCCTTCCCCATTTGTTGGTTACTTGGCAAGTCTTTAAGATGTATTTTTGGAACTTATAGTTTCCCCATAAAGGGGTTATTAACTCAATTTATGATTTAAAGTTCATTCAATAATCCTGATTCATTTCAAGAGAATCAGGTGGCAGCAATGCTTCAGAATGGCTTCCTGAACGTGCTGGTGCAATTGGACAAGATGGTCGACTACTGGCATCACATGTTGAAGGAGTTTCCCGACCATCCAGCTGCTTCTATGGTTTCTGCATCTGCACCCCTAAGCCTATATGGTGCCTTGGTGCTTCAATTTTTGAACATTGAAGATCAACTGTGTAATATCTAGCATGACAGGTTTTCAATATTTCCAACTCCAACTCATGTGCCCATATATGCAGGTGATGAAGGACAAGCTCTTGGAAGATCATATATGGCCTTTCATTTTCAAAGTGATCTATCTCCATGCCTCAAAAATGCTGCAGTCAGTCGCTTCTTGATCACCACCATCCCATCCAGTTACTACGCATCTTGGTGAAATATGTCCATGTTGTTGAAAGTTTGTTCAACTAAATTGGATGATCGTATCTATGGAACTGGGATAACTCAGGTCTTTGCTGGAAAAGTGAATCTGACACTACAAGCTGCTGCAAAAATCATTTGTGAATCGCTGAACGAATTGTCATGCAATGGAGTGGCAATCCCTGGTGATGTATCAGCACCCTGGCCTCAAGATCCGATACTTTATATTTCCCCACCTGCCAGGTGAGGGTTGTTAGATTTTATCTAAGTTGCCTGGTCCTCCTCCTCCTGCCTCCTCCTACTGCCTCCTCCTACTGCCTCCTCCTGCCTCCTGCCTCCTCCTGCCTCCTCCTCCTCCTCGTCGTCCTCCTCGTCCTCCTCGTCCTCCTGCTCAACTGCGACCCTCGGTGACAGTGTTCTCTGCCGGACCTCAACCACGACCATCCACGCCCAGTGTTCCCTGCCGGACCTCAACCGCGAGTATCCACGCCAAGTGTTCCCTGCCGGACCTCATGTAGGAAGATATGGGACAAAGAATGCCAGATAGAATGCCAGAAGATATGCCAGATAGAATGCCAGATAGAATGCCAAAAGATGTGCCAGAAGATGTGCCAGAACATATGCCAGATAGAATGCCAGAAGATATGCCAGATAAAATGCCAGAAGATATGCCAGATAGAATGCCAGGTAGAATGCCAAAAGATGTGCCAGAAGATGTGCCAGAACATATGCCAGAAGATATGCCAGATAGAATGCCAGAAGATTTTCCAGATAGAATGCCAGAGGATATGCCAGATAAAATGCCAGAAGATATGCCAGGTAGAATGCCAAAAGATGTGCCAGAAGATGTGACAGAACATATGCCAGAAGATATGCCAGGTAGAATGCCAGAAGATATGCCAGATAGAATGCCAGATAAAATGCCAGAAGATTTGCCAGATAGAATGCCAGAAGATATGCCAGAACATTTGCCAGAAGATATGCCAGATAGAATGCCAGCTAGAATGCCAGAAGATATGCCAGATAGAATGCCAGAAGATTTGCCAGTAAGAAAATCTATACATGTCATGGTGGGGATCACACGAAGTAAAGTATTTTTTTGGTCTGACCTGCACATCTAGCCAAGTGTTTTGAAAAAGGTTGCCATTTTAGTTTGCGTTATCTCCTTTACAGCTTGCAACTTTGATCTGATGAGGACCATTCTGTGGAGCTTCGCTTCTATGTGATGAACTTTAAGGGTGATTGGAAGTACCTGCAGCAGCTATTCAACTTCCGAAAGAACCCCTCAACAGAGAAGGCCCGACCCGGCTTTTTGGGGCCCGGGCACGGCGCTAGCTCTGCATCGGTTCCCATGGCCAGGACATATATGTTTCATGTGATATCTGATTCTTGATTTAATATATATATCAATTATATGGGGATATATAGTCTCATTGAATGACAAAAAATGGATATCTAAACCCTAAAGGCATGCAAAATGGTTAAAACATGATATGCATGGCAATAGTTATATGGGGCAAATGAAAATATGTTGGGTTAACAATATTTTATATATAATATAATATTCGATGTTGCCAAGCCCTGTATATGCAATGTATTTCGCAAACGCTGCGCAGGTATGTTGGAAATGCGAAGCGACGAAAGGGAACTCCGATTTAACCAATACCTACACCAATGTGGGGGAACAAGCACCATGGAAGGCTACACTGTGGACATCATTGCCATGGCCTGCATCCGAAGTTCCCGAGCTGACTAAGGTGACAGGCTTTGATGTGAAGATGATTGCAGCAGACTTATTGCATACGTGGCATTTAGGCTGCGGCCGTGATTTGGCAGCCAGCTGCATCAAAGTGCTGGTGGGTCTGCATTATTTCCCGGGAAGATCAATTGAGCGAAGCTTGGCACTGGCCACGGTTCAGCTGAAGCGGTATGCAAAACTCTGCAAGCACAGTCTTGTGCTTCGCAAGCTGACGAAAGCAAACTTGACGTGGACCGAATACCCGGAACTGAAGTGCAAAGGTTTTGACACGTTCGTGGTTTTGTCGTGGCTGCAGCATGAGTTCGCCGCCCGTCCTCCCACAGCAGATGACCCCGAGGTACAAGCGATGTTAGACCTGATGACTACAGCAGTATGGTGCATGGATTCGATGATGCGAATGTTGGCACACAGCCCCATGCACCTATCAGAGGCACAGCAACGGCAAAAAACCATTCTGGGCAGCATATACATCAACTGTTACATGACGCTGGCTGGGAACGCGGTCCAGAATGGGAAGAAGCTATGGCGTGTTCGGCCGAAATTCCACATCCTCCACCACTGCATATTGGAGGATCGTGAATCGAGGTTAAACCCGCACTATAGTGCTACATGGATGGATGAGGACTATATAAAGAGGACAATGCGTGTCAAGAAGAAGACACATAAGCGTACCGCCACCAGTGCGACGCTGCACAGGTGGCTGATGGGGCTTGCAAGACAGATGCAGGCGACCCTTGAGCAGCTGTGATCGATGGAAAATATCCATATCTGTTGGTGGGATATCGGGTCCGGTGCACCCACACGTGATCAAGGGAACTTCGGCATACACATATATATGTGGTATACATTCACATATTTATATGGTATATGAATACAATTATGTATATAATATCAAAATTTAATGAATATAGAAATATATACAAATATCTTGACATGTATTTGCATATGTTCACACATTTCAATCTATATCTGGAATATGCATGGCAGATGTCACAGTGCCCTTGCATGGTGGCTGACCCAAAAATAAATGGTTTTGATTCTAGGATTTGCTTCCCTAACATCGAGGGGGATGACCGGAAGGTGTTGTTATTCAGGGGCTTCCAAAATTAAATATTACCATTGCTATCTCCAAGCACTTTTGGGGGTTTACCACCACGGTTCTATATATATGTATATACATAACCCCAAAATATTTACAGTAAGAGAATTCAATTGTGGATGGATGACAATATCTGGTTTTGAGGGATGGTCATGCATGTTGTTGTATATATCTCCCCGATATTTAGGCAAGCCCAAGAATATGTTTTTTGATTTTATGTTGAGATAGGAACCCAAGTATATGTAAATAATTCATGGTATAGGCCAGCTGGAGTAATAAGGAAGTATTGTTGTCTTAAACGTTGGCTCAGGCAAGAGCATGGGAATGAGAAAATGAAATTCTGTCAAAGATCCCTGGCCCAAGCAAAGGGATGAGCATGAGAAGATGAAATTCTGCCAAAGATTTCAAAGGGATGAGCGTGATAAAATTAATCTTGGCAAAGTTTTGGCTCAAGCATCGGAATTACCATGGGAACATGGTATTTTAAGAGAAGATAGGTTCAAGCCAATGTGTGGCCATGAAGAATCAACATGTATAGCGTGAAAAATCGAGAATTTTGGCTAAAAACTTGTTTCGCCAAGTTCTGGCAAAATCAAGCACGAACAAGCCATGTACCACATAATCTGGTACAAATGATTGTCTAGGAAAACGGTTTATGTGCCATAAATCGATTTTTGCGGGTGCACCCATTGGTCGCTGTTCAAGCAGAATTGCGCCCAATGTTCGCTCTTCTGTCGAACAGCGACTAGCCGGTGCACCCAGTTGGTCGCTGCTGAAGCATTTTTCTCCCTAGGAGCCTGAGAAATTTGGTTGGTCGCCGTATATTGTGATGACAGCGATTGTCACAGTGTTCGAGCCACCTCACACAGATCGATGCTTGTCGTATAAATCGGTTTTTGTGGGTTGCATGGGTTGGTCGCTGTAAAGTTACAATAGCGATTGACCTCAGATCGTGGGCATGGCTGTTGTGGTGTAGCACTGAGCAAAAGCTGATGTGTGTTGTGATGCACCTTTGTTTCACCATTGCTGCATTTCGCGCTGAAAACCCATGTCTCTACATCCTGCATGTTGCAATGTGTACCTGCCCGGAAACAGCATTGAGCAAAATTCCTGCAATGCAGTAGGATCAAGATCATGCTGCAGGATGGGCATTCCGATATGACAACGTTGTCAAAACATGCCCTAGAGACGATATGGTCTTCGCTGGGCGGGAAAATTGGTGGTGCAATTGGGTTAACTGATTGGTTTTAGAGCCACAGGAATCCATAAGCTTGTATATATCCCCTACACGGAAAAGGTTGCCTTGTGGTTCAAGCAATCGAAACGGCACCCCCAAGTATATACATATCTTGAATATATATGTATATATAAATATATGTTTATGTTTGCAGACATACACGCATGTGTAAATGTAAAAAGCATATACGCACATTCAAGCTTGCATATCCATGCATAGACACGGCAAATCTATTTAACACATGTGTACATAAGGCATTTTTTGCAACATGGTGTATATAGATTAATATATATATATATATATATAAATGTATATACACATATCACATGTATCTATTGTGCATGGATGTACACGAACATGCACAACCACAATCGCACAAACACGTATATAAGTAAAAATATATAAGACCAATACATATACATATGTCAGTCACAGCATGGCGTATGCGTAATATTTATAAATAGAAAAATTAGTTCCAAGGAAACATGTGAAAACATCACACCTATTTCAGGGACGAAACGTGAAGCGCAGCCGTGGAAAAAAATGAGTTTTCATGAAATTGAAAGAACTTGGCCAAAAAGCAAGGAAATCACGAAAAGAGAACGTGGAATTCATGAAATTCAGCAAAGAAAACGTGAATCTTATGAAATTCAGCGTGAATTTCATGAAATTCAGCGGAGAAAACGTGAATTTCATGAAATTCACGAAGGAGAAGCGTGAAATTCATGAAATTCAGCAGAGAAAACGTGAATTTCATGCAATTCACGAAGAAGAAGCGTGAAATTCATGAAATTCAGCAGAGAAAACGTGAAATTCATGAAATTCACGAACAAGAAGCGTGACATTCATGACATTCATGAAATTCAGCAGAGAAAACGTGAAATTCATGAAATTCACGAAAAAGAAGCGTGAAACTCATGTAATTCAGCAGACAATGAAACGTGAAGCGTGAAATCCACGAAAAAGAAGGCGTGAAATTCATGAAATTGCTCATTATTCTTGAGTCCAGAAAATCCGAGGTGAGAAGAGGAAGAAAAAGCGGAACACACGAAACGTGAAATTTCGTGAAAAAGACGATATAAATCATTTATGCAAGCTACTTAACGTGAAATTTCGTGAAATTCATGTTTCCAGATCCCAGCGATGTTTCGCAAAGTATTTGGACTCATTCAGTGCTGGAAATCTTCGGCTAGGTGGCAGGCATGCAGAGTGTATGTATAAGCAGCGCCTTCTTTTTATCCCAAATGCAGCAAAAACATGTGCAAATTTTATGCCCGCCACATACAAAACTGAAAGCCTTGGAGACATGACGCCTCTCTATAGCACAAGTGCATCATGGACAGCCTTGCGGCAAAGGTCATGCCATAGAAATCTAATTCGGGAAGAACTTTAACGTCATCGAGCCCGCTGTTGCCGGGAGCTGCAGCACAACGCTTGCTTCCGAGAAGGGTTGAATGCTTATGCTCAGAGGCAGTAGGGCTTGCAACATGTTTCTTGTTTGGTTGTTTGGCAAGCCTGCGTGGGCCTCGCCGGGGAAAAAATGGTAGGAGAAAAACTCCGGTAATACCTCTCTCTCTGTGGCCAAACCATGCTATCACCAGGTTGTGTGATGTGTTTTTGCGCAAAGCGTGCTTGATCAAAAAAACCAGCTGACCGCTGACATGAGAAGAATGCTAGAAAAGGCTTGGCGAAAAAATGACATGCGCAGAAAGTCCTGCGTGTAAAAATACATATACGCTTTGTGCGTCTGTGTAAGCAGCCCATGGGGCAACCTTTCCGGAATGTGGTAATTAACAGCCATGCATGATTGCAATCGGATGGAGCTTCCTATTTGTTTCCCGGGCCGCTTAAAAACCTATACAGCAGTTCAATGTTGCCACGATCGGTTTTGGGCCGCAAAGTAGGGGCATGGCTTTTTTTGACTCCGCTGTGTCGATTCCTCCATCAATGATTTTTGTCGCATTGATCTCGTCGCAGTGCATACCGGAGCGAAACCGCAGTCGCCGACTTTACTGCTAGTAGTTTTTTACATCAAGCATGTAGTTTGACCCTGTATATGTGGACTTGCGACGATGGTTGTTCAGACCGCCGTGTCACCGAAACTTGCAAATTGGCTATGGGAGTTGAGGAACGTATCCCTACTTAAAAGCCTGACACGTTGGGATGCGTGAGAAGAAAAAAAAACTACACACATATATATATATATACATATATATCACACACACATATGTATATATATATTCTGGAAAAAGAGAGAGATTTACAAAATAAATAGCAGTAAAGAGATATGTATATATATATATATTTACACATATATAAAGCCAGAGAGCAACCCCCGCTATGCACTTGCAACTTTCAATATTTTGCCGTCCGACAATCACTGCGCATGAAGCTGAAGAGCCCCTCACGGGCACAAGCGGGCGCGGCATGGGCCGCTCCAATGATGACACGCTTGCTCTTTTTGGAATGCTTGCATTGAAAAGCATTGTCGACTGTGTTTGAGCGCCTTTACCTGTCAATGTGGGCTGCCCTGAAGAGCATGGTGCTGCCTTGCTATACCAAAACGTTTTGCAAAAGAAAACAGTGTCCAGGAACTGCAAAGGTTAACAATACAATACAAATGGTGCTTTATCTTCCTCGTGTCCTGAGACTACTCTTTTGTTTTATTGCTGGTGCTTTTGAGGGTTCCCGCTGGTTAAATGCTTTAGGTGTAAGCCTGCTTTCGCATTTTTGGAGGAAACAAAAACCGCTCTGGGATTGTTTGAAAACGGTGGATATCTCAAGAATAAGAAAATAAATAATGGAAATTTAAATGTAACCTGATATTGTGATGTTTCCAGGCCAACCTTATATATTTGGCACGCGCGCCGTACAGGCGCGGAAGTTTCCAGCCTAAAAGAAACAAGTCTAATAGAAGTATCATGCAGGCGCATGCTTAATGTCAAGGACTTGCTGAGGGATGGAAAGTCCAATGCAATCAAAGAGTGATTGGCCGGCCGCGTGCTCTTGGCGATGCGTGGCATCTGCTGATGGTGTGGTGGGGTGGGACCCAAAAGTCAAGCTCTCCTAGGAGCATGTCCATGGTCTAAAAAGGATTGCCTTCCAAATTTGCTGAGGGTGCTGTGGTAGAGTTAGAAAAAGCTCATTTGAACGACGTTTTCATCGTCTTGACAGACGTGCGATGATCTTTAAATTGCCATATGTCACATGTTCGTTCGGTTGAAGGAAAATTATGCGGAGCATGCCCACAGAAGTGTAACATCCCAAGAAAAGAGAAATTGATTTATAAGGCCTTGGGCTGCATAAATCGTTTATAACATCCTTTTGACCTCTGTTGGTATCTACAGAGCCCACGATCCTAGGGGTGACTTACAACCTTGATCAGATGCAGTTGGAGATCAAAGCTGAGCGAAGAGAAGAGATCACCCAGGAGATTGAAGCGATCGTGAAGGCAGGCATTCTAGACCCTGGCTCGGTGGGGAAGTTGAAAGGTAAGCTCATGTTTGGCGCTTCTCAGCTCTGGGGAAAAGTTGGACGAGCTTTTCTGAGGGTCATTTCTGAGCGCCAATACCTTCGTTTCCCGATCGGTAGTGAGTTCAAACTAGATCAACCTCTGCTCGAGTCTTTGCTCCACTGGAAGAAATTGGTCAATGAGGGACCGCCGAGGCCGATCGAATCAGCTTCAGCTAAACTAGTGGATGCAGTGATTTTCACAGATGGTTTCACGCCGGATCCTAGGAAGAAGGAACGTTTGCCTGATCGTGTAGGAGCTGTTCTTTTTGATAGGCGCCTATGCAATTCACGTCAGCTGTCTCCAAAGCCGTTAAGAGGCGGTGGCTTGAGCGCTCGACTCAGATTGTTCCTGTTGAGATGGTCGCAGCTGTTCTAGCCCTGGAGACTTTTGCTGATAGGATCCGTGGTTCAGATATCTTATTGCTCATAGATTCCGAGGCTGTTGAAGGTGCCTTGATCAAAGGCTACTCGAGCCGAGAGGATCTCTGTCAATTAATATCTGTATTTTGGGATCTTGCGTTTCAGCTCCGAGTGCGAGTTTTTATCGATCGGATCTCAACTGATGCCAACCCAGCCGATTGGCCATCAAGAAATAAACTTTCCATAGGCGAGGCCGCAGGCTGGATCACAGTGAACCCCTGCTGGCCGAAGGCTCTGTTTGAGACTTAGGAGAGGGCCTGGGTCAGTGACTAAGCTCAACTTCATTTGCTCTCACCACATGCTTTGACCTGCCTGTGAAAGGCTCTGTGTTCAAGCGTTGTTTGGTTTGAGTCTATTTTTGAGCCTGGTCATTTGGCTTATGCATCTTACTGATCTGATGATCTGATCAGTGTCTCTGACAGTGACCTGCTCGCCCCATGCCCTGAGCAGCGTCCGCAAAAAGGATCTTTTTGCACATGCAGCTGTTCAGGCGCGTCGGTTTCTTGGATTGGGTTCTGATCAGTTAGAAAGTAAGAGGGATCCTCTCTTACGTTCATGAACAAGTGAGTCATCTATCTATCTATCTATATCTATCTATCTATCTATCTATCTATCTATCTATCTAGCATATATATATATATATACATATATATACACATACGCATATATATATATATATATACATACCTACATATATATGTATATGTATACATACGTATATATATATATATATATTAAAATAATAAAATCAAACACATTGATATATAAAGGGGGTTGCCAACCATGAAGGCTTCATGGGGATATCATCGGTATTCAATGTGGTCATGTTGGCGGAAACCGTGGAAACCCATGGCCTCGAAGGACCTGCTACTGCGCTTCCTCAAGCTGGAGGGGAGGTGCGCAGAAAGCAGTGGAAAATCCTCCCGTTGATGGGAACATATTTGTTATTATAGGAAAATCAATACAGGAATATCAATATGGGAAAATCAATGTTGATATATATATAGTGTCTTAATTGATGTTTCCCATGTGATGATTTTCCAATCTACTGATTTTCCTATATTAAAGACAAAATCTTTGCATCACTAGATTATACTGAATGATCAAGAACAGATAGATATTTACATGAGAAAAAATCACGATCCATTTCTGGGAAGAGATCTCGAAATGCTATATATGTTTGATGGCACGGAAG